AATCCGTTTGGTTTCAGTTTGGATTTAAATTCGATAAACTGCTGTTGCTCGTTTGAATTTTTAAAAATAGCAGCAGTTATCATTTAAGGCTGAAATTTTTACAAGTGGACTTTGGCATACGGAGTGTTCTTGTGTAAAATTTTCAGGTTCAGATTCATTCATTAAGTCTGAGTATGGATTAATGTGCCCTTTTTGCTGAATTACTGTTCGAATTTTATAAAATAGGATATTTCGAGTTTAAAGCTGAAACTTTGTGATTTTACATGTTTCTGGGAGATAAAATTTCGTATAAATTTTCAGAGCTTAATTTGTAGGATATCTTGACCTTTTATTTTTCACGCGATTAAATGATTTCAATTTTCGAGCATAATTGTTATATTGAATTTGGATGGCCTTGCTTTTTGGTTTTTATGTGTGTTTGACCTGGTCAAACCTTAGATGGATTTTTGTGAACTCCCTTAAGTGGTTTGGTCGAGTTTAGGGCCGAGTCCTAGTGTTCCACATCCACAGGACTTCACGAACTACTTAGTCGAAACGAGTTCGACTAGGTCTGTCTTGTGATTTTCAGTTTAAGTCGAGATAGATTCTGATTGTAGGATCTTGGCATAATATAGGTGTTTGAGGGGTCGAGCCTCGGTCCTCATCTTTTCTGATTTGCTATCATCAATCCGAAATTTCCAGGTGGGTTATTCTAAAATTATCTATGCATATGTGTGATTTAAATTGTGATGAAAATTTGGTGTGATCTATGTATGAAAATGAACATGTAGCCTATCGATGTGAGCTTGATGGCCGTCGATACGGTTGTCCCCGTATGATAAGATACGGTTACCCTGTGAGGTAAATCTCATTAAGACCTATGAGAAGGCCGTGTCATTGATGTGGCACGCACTCCCATGTTTCACTGATATGGCATGGCTTAGCTTTGATGAGCATAGATGTACATGAGTGAGTCTTTGATGAGACTAGAGTCATTGATGTGACTAGAGATGTGACATGATTTAATTGTTTATGTTCATGCTGCGACCATACCATTTATAAGTTATTCATGTGCATAATGTGAGTACGATAGTTAACTGTACTCACTCCCACCTGCTCGTAACTGATGCAGGTTAAGCAGTTGGCGGTGACGAGACGAGATGACGAGTGGTGGTTATGACATTTATTTATTTAATTTTGCTTCCGCTTAGTTTATGAACTCATGTCGAGATTTGGATATTGATCATGTCGTTTGAAACTTGGAAGTTATGAATTATCTTTTGTGATTTTGAATTTAATGAATGCTAGTGAGGTTTATGATTTAATGTTCGAGCATGCTATCTTTCTTTAATGTGGCTGTTTTTGCGGATAAAAGCTTTTGGTAAAATAAGTAGCGCCCACTGAGTTTTAAATTAAATTTAAGGTTGAAAAAAAAATTAAATTATTGTGATTTTTTGTTAAATAAATTCGATAAATATTTCAAAATAAAGTGGGGCGTTACATGGCCTTAGCTCGGGTCTACTCGCGACTTGTGGTCCTTGTGCTCGGTTGAGGGGCTTAATGGCTGAAGAAATAAACTCAATACACTTAGAAAAATCCAAACAACATTTGGAATATGCTAAGAATTGAGAGTTCACGGCTGGAACAAGCTGAGGTGTGGCTAAGCCTTCCTCGCCCTCTCTCGCGCGCGGGGGAAAGGTTAGACTTGCTCTCGATTTTTCTCTTGTTTTCCCTCAAATGTGCTAAGTGTTTAATGTGTCCAAGAGTCACATCAATGCTGAGGAGTGTCCATTGTACAGAGGATATGGGCGGAGGCCACGAGGTGAGCAAGTGGAGGACAAAGTCCACACATGCGTGCATGGGATAAGGGTGATGGGGCTTGGGCTGACTTGCACGAACTTGGAGGAGTGGCAGGGCATCTTGACTGACCAAGGCATTAAAATATGGTGGGGATGCTGCTCCTGGTCGGGCTTGAGGTAGTGGGGGACATATCCAAACTCACAAACAATATAAAAATGCCCCACTCATCTTATAATATTCCTTAAAGGCCATGTGACTCCTTTAATCCTTGCTTAGGGATAATTAAGCTGAATTAATCCCTAATCAACCCCTTAATACATGCATGAAGTTGGGCCCTGGAGATGTGGGCCAAAAAACGCCACATTGGGCTTGAGAAGATGGACTACCATGCTGTCGCTGGGCCTGGCGTGAGGAACACGGGCGCGGCATTGCTGGGCTGACCCGGGGCGACGAGCTGGGCTTGCTGCTGCACGCGGGATGATCTTGGGCCGAGCTTAAGGGCTGAAATAAAGCTCTCAACACTTAGAAAAAATCCCATAAGTGTTTGGCCATGACTCGAGCTCTATCTCGCACGGCATTAGCCACCCTCGCGCGGCTAGGGCGCGGCCCTTATGGCTTGGGCTCGGCATCACTTGGACCGAGTAGGATACTTGGCTAGGGCTGAACTTGTGGCTCAAAAAGGAACCAAAATACTTAGGAAAATATGTCATCATTACTAACCATGACTTGGGCATTTGCACTCGATGAGGCGCGCAACCTAAAGGCGCGGGGACTCGAACCATGGCACGAGCTCGGTGCGTGGTTCCTCTCGACCGAGTGACTTGACCTAGGCTCGATAAAATGATCGACTCATACTTATAAAAATATTCTAAGTAAGCTATGAGCACGGCTAGGGCTCGAACAAGACTCGAGACTACTAGGGCTTGAGAATTGGCTAGGCGCGATACTCGCGACCGAACGACTCGGTTCCGGACACGGCTAGACTTGGACGATTTATCGAAACATACTCGGTTTCGATTATTCGTCAACTGAAATAATTAATTCCGACTGAATAAAGTCCATTGCTAAAATAAATGGACCGAAATTAATAACTGAGATTGAATAGCTAATAACTGGGCTCGGAACTCAAGACGAGCAGTATTAATAAAAAGAAATAATTCAACTTCGAACTAAAAACTGTCATTTTTATTAGTACAGAATTAAGCTATTACATAACCTGACCAACCTATTTTTGTGAATAAAATCTAGTAGTTTTAAATATATGGCTTTTGCAATAAAAATTGTAACTTGGCTCGTTTTTTGTTTCTTTAAGTGTCTGACTTGGTCAATGTTGGTGTTGGATTATGTGAACTCCCATGTATTTGGTTGAGTCTTAGTGTCGAGTCTAAGTGTTCCAATGTCCACAGAACTTAACGAACAACTTAGTCGAATCAAGTTCGGCTAAGAATAATTGTGATTTCCGTTTAAGTCAGAGTAGATGTTGATTATAGCATCTGGACTTAATGTAGGTGTTTGAGGATTCGAGCCCTCGACCCACCAACCTGTTTGTGTGACTTCTCTACCGAATTACCAGGTGGGTTGTTATTCTAAAAAATTGCTATGCCTTAAATGTTATTACTGTTTTAATTATGGTATGATCAAAGTATGCATGTGGAACATGTAGCCTTCGATGTGAGTTGTATCGGCCGTCGAATGGTTATCCCCGTAGTTATGGAACGGACCCCATTGGGGTAATCTCCTCTTTACGCCTGTAAGACCAGGGTTGTGCTCGGTCGACGATTTGTATCCCGTTGTGAGACCAGGACAATGCTCCGCCGACGGTGGTTTACTCCTACTGGCTGGCACTCGATGTAGGACTGGAGGGCATTCGATATATAGTCAGCAGTAGTCTATGCGTAGGTATGCACATGAGTCTATTATTGATATTATTGATAGGAGATGGGATAATTAATTGATTCGTATACATGCTGAGACCATACCTTATTGATTACTGATTACTGTTTCATTATTGTGAATAATGTTTACTGCATAGTGGTGAGCACTACATTTTCCAACTGTGCTCATCCCCACCTGAATTCACGTTTCAGGTTAAGCGAGGCAGGTACGACGGTGGAGTAGAGCGAGTGGTGGTCGGTCTATAAGACCGGTTTTATTATTTGTTATGCTTCCGCATTTATGAACTGGTTTTATGATTATGAACTTGGGGTATTATTGCTTTTATGAATTTCGGATTTTATGACTGAATAATGTTAAGGAGATGCTCCTTAGAATTTATGAATATTGTTGGAACCCAGTTTGGGTGATGATAAAATTTGGAAAACCCGTTTTTGGGAGTTAGTATTACTGTTGATGATTGATGATTGAGTTTGATGAATGATTGAGTATTGAAAAAATTAGTTAAGTATTGAAGTTCGATTTAAAAAGGGGTAGCGCCTCAGGTGTTTCGAAATAAATTTGAAAAATTTATTCTGATTTTCGGCAAATAAAAGTGGGGCGTTACATAAAAGTTACAAAATGGCCCTATATAACCCAACCAAGCCCATGCTTTTTAGGCCCACCCAAACCACGAGGCCTATTGCTACTCATTCTCATATATTACCTAACAAAGCCCATGTTTTTTAGAACCCTTTCTCTTGTCTTTTCATTTCTCTATCTTCTGCTTTTCCGAGATCTTCTAATATTTGCCCTTTTGTTTCATCGTTCGAAGATTACACTATAATTGCCCAGAAGCTTCATTAGTTTTGCTTGGTCTTTTGAAGAGATAACTTGGAGCGCTAATGATATTGTGAATAGTGATTAGTTGCATCATCATGCATCTTTAGGAACGAAACGCAAAACAGGCGGTTCGGGTCCTTCAAGATGTTCGAAGACTTTGTTTTCATTTTTTTGGCATAATCATGCATTTTTTGTAACTCATGAATTGTATTTTTTTTTTTTTTTGGTNTTTTTTTTTTTTTTGGTCATTTCTCCATTTTATCGTTAACAGATAAGTGAATCGATCCAACCGATGAAACTCTAGTTTGGAACCGAACAGTAAAATTTGGTTCGATTTTGGGTTAGTCAAACCGAAATTTTGGTTAATTGAAATTTTGATCAGTTCGGTTCAATTTCGACCAATTATACAGCCCTAACATTGGGCGCAGTAATTGACTAAATACAAAATAACCTCTCAAAACATATATTGTAACCAACAAAACTCAACCTAATAGAAAATCTCTCAGATCCCTAAATTCCCATTTCAATGTACCCTCGCAGGTCTCGCCGCCGTTTTGCCTCCTCTTTGGTCGTCTCTCTTCCTCTCCATTGAGGAGGCAGCTCGCGCCGGTGTGGCTATGGGTCGTTCGACCTTCTCTTAGTCCTTCCTGTCGTGGCGCTTCTTCAAACCTTTGGCGTGCATGGTGGTGTCTTTAGGGATCGAGGGGCGGTGCAGAGGGCCCGTAGATTTTGTTTCTGTCCGCCGCGCCAGTGGTGGTCGGATCTGAGGTTAGCAACCGGGCGTTCCCCTGGATCCGAGTCGTCTCTGGTGCTGAGACGGATGGGTCTGACGGTGGTGGTTGCAGTCTCCCGTCGTGGTTTCAGCAGCCGTGGTTGGTTTGGTGCGGGGGCGTTTTGGTTGACAGGTTTCTCGGTGCGGTTCAGGAGTGACTCCTTTGGGCGGCGTCGCTGTTCGCAGGGGCGTAGCCACATGGTGGCTCACCCGGGCTCCAGCCTGGTTTAAATTTTTGGTTTTATATAAATATATTATATAGTAGTAAAAAAATATTTTAGCCCATATTTTACTAATTTAATTTATGATAAAATTATTTTGTCCATATTAATTTAAATTTATTTTATATTAAACCAAAAAATTATACATATTTTTTTACATGACGCAAACCATTTTATGTCTTTTTAAAACACGATGAATTTATATTATTTATATCATTTTATATGTGAAATATATCAATTATTTGTTAACTTATAAAAAATTGATATTTGAATATGTGAAATATATGATTTGATTTTATTAATTTGCGTAGCATATTCACTGCAACAACATTTGAAATTCTCCAATTTAAGTAAAATATCATATAACAAGTATATTAGGTTAACATGTTTATTCAAAAAATGACATTTGAACTTTCACAATTTAATTGAAATATCATATAACAAGTATGTTGGATTAATATGTCTAATAATAAAACGTTAATCTCATAGTGGTATTTGAAATAATTAATATTATTTTTATAAGTCAAATTTAAGTAGGCAAAAGGAAATTACGAGACAATACTATTTTTTGATTTACTAAAACAACATGACATATTTTTAATAATTTATTTTTCATTGATTTTGTAATTTACATTAAACGCTTACGAAATTATCATACTTTGAATTTTCACATAACAGTAGTGATATTAGTGAAGCCAAATTGAGTCGAATACGTCGTATTCGAATTTGTGCTCGTATAACAAATGAGCAAGTTTGGCTCGGATTATTTAATAAATCGAGTGAAATTAATTAAGTTCCGCTTGTTTGAATTAATTTTTTATTTAATGTTTTATTATATGAATGAGTCAAGATTGACTTTTACGAGCCGAACTGAGTTGTACTCCCTAACAAATCGGTTCTAACAGCCCAAGATAAAAAAATATTTCTGGCTACGCCCGTGGTTGTTCGGCTTGCCCAGCTCTAGTCAACCGTTTGTTGGAGTGTCTAGAGCTCGTGCTCGGGCAGTGGGCCTGTTCTTCGTGAGGGGCCTCTCGGGGTTGCCGTTCTTTTGGAGGTGTTAGTTAAGATTGAGGTCGGATGGGGAGAGCTCTTTTCTAGTATAGTTTTTTAGTTTGTTGTTAGTTGTGGATTCTGTCTATGTNTCCTTTCATTTCGGCCATTTGGCTGCCGACTTCGACTGCTTTAGATGTTTTCTGTGCGTTATTTATGAAAGTCTATCGTTGAAAAACAAAAAAAAACTTATATTGTAAACTTATATCAGCCTTGGATATTTTTGGATTAATAAAGCTTGAATTAAACTATATATAGTTGGAAAAAGAGCATGCGATTGGGAGTCTAAAAGAGAAGGGGAAAAAACAATGGTATGGAATAATATAGTCTGGCGTGGCACGTGAGTGACCGACGCTTGGCACGTGGCGGAACAGACACAGTGGATAAAAGGGACAGAGGGTAGTAGTAGTTCGTTAGGACTATATATATTTTATATGTACATATATTTATTTATTAAGTCGTGAAAAAAGATATATAAATACATATGTCATACAATATAGTCACATGCAAATTTGTAATTATTGCATATGCTGTAGCACTAGACATGGTTAATACTTACAATGTACAGGTTGGACAAAATAATAGTGTATCCATTTTTATAATATACACATGCATCCATTATTGCATCCTTTGTATACTTGTAAATTGGGTATTTGGGTTCACTATTGGTATATCAAAAATTTAAATAAAAATCGTATGAATTTATATGTGAAAAAATTAGTATATATGAAATCATGAAGTATGCTATATCTACAAATTCAGACAAATGGCTCACGTTGACATCTAAATTTTAATACCACTGCATCAAAGTTCTAAAAATGTAATATTGCCGTTAGATTAATTAAAATGTAATATCAAAACAAATTTGAAGTAAGGACTAAGGTGTGGTACGTACACCTTACGACCTTAAACTTAAAACTTTCTCGTTGAAGATAAGTGATACTGAACAAGGTTAATCTCACACAAGCCTATTATATGTATATATTTTCCCCCAAAATACAGGTAATTTTCTTAGGAATGACGTCGTTTAATAAATGTATAACTATATTATTAAATATTAATAATGTATGAGAAAAACAAAGGCGACATTTACAAAAGTGGAATCTCAAAAGGGGATAACTGAAAAATAGTAGCGAGTGAGCAAACGGTATACTTTAGCGATAGCAGTTAGTTAACGGGCGTTAAGTTTAACGTTCTGCTCTTAGCCTTTTTTGCAGTCTATAAAAAGAGGCCGTAGGCAGTTACTGATTTGTAACGCTCTCTTTTCCCTCTCCGTTTTTTGTCTTCTCCATCTCTCTCAACTAATTAATTCTTTTTCTCTCTCACTAATTTCTCAGCTCCATGGAGACTTGATAACTGATTATACACACACAATTCACACACACACAAACATAAATAGAGAGAGAGAGTTAGAGAAAGAAGAGGAGTACGATACCATGGCGTTGAAGAAAAACCTGTCTCTGTTTTCTTTGGTGCTGCTGCTGCTTCTTGCTGGAGCTCTGGCTCGACTTCACAAAAATCAAACGCACAACTTGAGGTATACATTTTTTTTTTTCAGCTGACGATTAACATTTTTTAAATCTTTCATTTTTTCGGAAATTTTAAAAGTTTCATATTTCTTCTTCCTTGTTTGTTCTTCTCAATTCCTGTCATTTTGCCTTCAAATGTTGGATCTTTTTCTTGGTTCTCTTGGTGCTTTCTGAAATTTCCAATTTTACATCGAATTTCACGAGCATTTTGCACTAAATTTCGTATCTATTTTAGCTTCTTTTTTTCCCTACGAGTGAAAATTCCTGAATATGTCGCTACAATTTTTTTTTCCAAATCTTCATATTTGAGTTGTTGATTAGTTTTCCCCTTTTGTTATTTTGTTGGCAGTGTTGGTGAGAAAGAAAAGTTGCAGAGGTCGCAGAACTTAACAATGGCGGACGAGTGAGTAAAACGACGCCACTTCTATTTTATTCCCTGCGCATTACTATGCCTTTATATCTCAAGTTTCAACGGACTAAAATTTTTTCCCACTTTCGCAACAATCAAATCTCAGCCGTTGGTTCTGCTCCACAACCCTCACACCCTAACGTCTCTATCCAA